AGCAGCTTTTTAGCATGTTAAAACTGTTATTTTCTGCCTCGTCATTGAGAGTAACAGCTGGCGAAATTACAGCCACGCCTACTGATTTCAAATGTGTGCTCTAAAATGATATTTATAAATTACTATTATCATTATTATAAGCAAGGCAATAAATGGCAAAGATGTAGAAAATAAACGTATTTAAGATACGTTCATAAGAAATGTAACGTGGGAGAAAATATGTTTCTAGAAGATATGTAGAAAATAAACGTATTTGAGATACGTTCATAATGAACGTAACGTGGGAGAAAATACGTTTCTCGCTAAACGTAATTGAGAATGCGGTTTAGCTCTGTGGGAACGTAATTTTTAGGAGACAGGGTTGAGGGAGGGGACATTGACAGAGGATTACTCAAAAAGTACACAGTAAGTACTTCATAGTACTTGTTGTGGGAGTAGTTTCACTACTAGCCTACTGAGTCCAACAGGGTCGATCTCAAGAATAACTATTGGCAAAAGAAATAATAACAAACTCGAGAGACGGCTGAGTTGACCGCAGTGCAGAATCGCTGTATAGTGGAAATCTCCTAACAATGTTGTCCATTTTAGACACAGGCCTATTATATTTCCAGCCCTTAATAACATTCATTTTCTCGGCTCAATATGTGTCTTGGCTGTTTTCGTCGTGAAAACAAATGGACCGTAGATACACGGATTGACCGTCCTCATCTGTGCTCTTATTTTGAAAGACAACTTCCGGTAGCAGAATATGAAAAAACGGGGGTTTTTTTGTTTCTGTTTTCTAGTGATTTTATTTTTTGTTTTGAGAAGTAGAAAATGAAAATCATCCCGTTTTTTAAGTTTAATAAATAAATGTTTGACCGTGATAAAGAAAAACACCTTGTATTTCAATTTCGGTTTTTCAATTTGAAAACGAAAATCAAATATCCAGTCGTTTTTGGTTTTTGAATATCCATTTGTGAAAAGAAAATCCAATGACCAAAATATTCACCGACCGATACTAAACACTAGGGGGAACACTACTGGACTGGAATGGGGACACAGACTAAATACATAGGGAGAGGGATGATGGGGAACAGTTGAGCCTTATTTGGATGATTTCACAGGCGGGGAACAATCAAGCTCAATCAAACTGAAACAAGAGGAGAGGTGAGTCACAAAATAAGACAGGAATGACAAAATGACAACATAAAGTCAACTTGCCGAGAAGGAACCTCACAGGGAAAGCGCTACACAAATGCAGTCCACTGACAATTGTAATTGTTTAGTTTCCAAAAGTGAATGAATAAACCTAAAAACTTAAACGTTCCTTTTGCCAGATTGTGGAAACAGTGTCTTTTTTTTTTTGTTGCAGAATTTGATTAGAAAAGACCAACATGTGATTTCCATCAAAACTGATAGTGCTTTTAAAACATTTTTATGCAATGTTTAATTTAATCTTTAAATGTTTGAATTCCCCGTTCCCAGGCCGCAGTGTCTGGTGATGACTGGGTATCCAAACTCCCGTCCTGCTCTCATTCAGCTGGTGAATTCTTTCACAAAGAACGTGGGCCTCATGGTCTGTGCTCACGTCAGGACAGTATGTACACATTCAGTTCAGTCTGTTACCTTCACTACATTCTTAACATCACTGAAACACTTTCTGCATGATTCTCCTCTGTCTTTTTCCTGTCATTACCCGTTCAGGTGACCCGTCGGCCAAACTTGAAGGAGTTATCTCAGGAACATGTCCGATGTCAGCGCTGGCTCAATAAAAAACGTATCAAGGCTTTTTACACTCATGTGTTTGCTGACAACCTGAGACACGGGGCGCAATTCCTTATGCAGGTAATGAAACCTGGATCAAAATGTTATTCTTAGGTTAAGCGAGTATCTCAATCATTATTAAAAATGTCTTAATATGTAAGTGGTAGCCTTAGGTCGCATTCACACCTTAATACTAGTCAGTTTCTCTAGTATGCACCAGATGACAGTTTGTTACATTGTTTCATTTTTCAGAAGGTTCGGTTTGCAGGCAAAACTCAAACGAACTATAAACTTTAAACACAAGTCATGTGCACGGAAATGCTGTTCAACAATTGGTCAGACATTAAGGGGGTAAAAACGCAAATCCCGGCAATTTCTACCATAGCCCCCACCATGGAGCATCGGCAGGTTATTTTCATAATAATAATAATAATAATACATTTAATTTCCAAGCGCTTTTTCAGGTGCTCAAAGCCGCTTTACAATGGTGATAAAACGAGATATAATAGAATAAAAAATATATATTAAAACAGCAACACATATAAAAGAATAACAAAATATTAAAACAGCAACACAACATAATTCACAAATTAAAAGCCAGTCTGAAGAGGTGTGTTTTGGTCAGTGTTTTGAAGTTGGGGGGGTCGGTGCAGTCTCTGATGTGTTGTGGAAGGGAGTTCCAGAGGGTGGAGGCAGCAATGGAGAAGGCTCTGTCCCCCCAGGTTCGGTGCTTGGTTCGTGTAGGGATAGAAAGGAGGTTGGCTTCTGATGAGCGAAGGCTCATGTGGCTCAATGGATGTGGTGGTGGATCAGGTCGGTGAGGTAGGGTGGTGGGGGGGGCCTGGTTGTTGAGAACTTTGTGTGTTAGCAGAAGGATTTTGAAGTTTATTCGTTGACGGACAGGGAGCCAGTGCAGGTTTTGAAGGACGGGGGTGATGTGTGGTCTCTGGAGCGGGTGTGGGTGAGGAGGCGGGCAGCGCAGTTCTGGATATATTACAGTTTATTTTGAATTTTGGATGATGAGCCATACAGGATGCTGTTAAGTAGTAGTAGTAGTTGTAGTAGTACCTGCTGTTGAGATTTGATGGGATATATGTCCTCACTTGTATGTGGTACTGTACTGTTCCATGTGATGTGCAATGTTGTGCTTGTGCCACAGTGAGGCGCAAGGACAAGGGATATAGGATGCATGCCTGCCTCCTATAGGCTAATCACAGCTCTTGATTGCCACGTGTGTGTGGAACCAGTTCATTCCAGTGGAGGCTGTCACCGTGAGAGTGATGCGTGCAGCCCTTATAATAAAATATGCCAGGCTTGGCTAAATGGATTACATCTCCGTGTTTTTCTCCGAATGCAACGTTAAGCTGCAGAACTAAGCATAACTTAACAGGTTATGGGCCCAGGAGTCGTTCGGAAGAAAAGTTTGTCGGTTTCCACCGTGTAGTAGTCGCAACAAACAGCGTGCTAACGGGTTGCTAAGCTAGCAAGGAGAGCAAGCTAGCATCATGGATCAACGAGGGACAAGCAGGTTGCCTCGACTGGCGTTCGACGGAGATGAGACCAAATATGAGATTTGGGAGACCAAAATGTTGGGACATTTCCATTTAATTGGACTAAAACACACGGTCCTGGGAGAACCAAGGACTGAAGCGGAAAGAGCGGCAGACGACAAGAAAAATGCCGACGCGTATGTGCTGAGATTAATTCAACAGTGTTGGGGGGGACGTACGACAAGAAGCCCTCTCATTAGTTATGAGGGATGCTGCGACCGATGAAGAAAAGGCTCAAAAACATATTAAGCGTAGAGTATTATGCCGGGCAACGGGCGGAAAACCCGAATATTAACCTGTACACCAATGCTTACATCGCTCCAGAAAGCGGCGCGACGAAAGATTATGGACTTACATCGTATCCAGAGCCAGAAACAGCCATCACAGCACTGCGAATGCAGGTGAGGAACGTTGGGGAGATTGGTCTTACTAGTAGCCTAGGTCTTAAAAGGGACTGCCTGGGAGTTTTAAGCCATTCGCAATACATGGTGGCACATAGCAAATGATAATATCACATGTGCTGAGATTCAAGACTAAGCCACGAAGTTTGTGAAGAAACAGAGAAGACAAATGCCAGCGAGTCCTGGGCGACAGTGTGATCGAAGACCCAGGGAGGAAACCGGGCGGGGACGACCCGCCAAGACAACGCACGTGACGCGGTACAAAAGAAGACCACAGAGATGGTGTGCTTCAAGTGTGGCACCAAAGGTCACCGAGCGAAAGACTGTCGGACAGAAGACATGTGTGCTAGTCATGCGAGAAGGCGACACACACAAAGACGCCACATGTAGCGCGTAAGGATAAAGGAGCGGAGTAAGGACAAAAGGGATGGGAGCGTGCAAAACACAAGAATATGAGACGGCGCCGACGTTCGCGTTCAAGATGAGGCGAACGGGGAGCAGCAGCCGGCCGAGCGGCATCCAGGGAGAGGAGGCCTGATGGTGGACACCGGAGCCACATCACATATCATCACCGAGGACCCAAGTCAAAGTTTCCGACGCGCGTTCAGACAAGAAAAGCACAAGCGTCGAGTTGGCAGACGGGCACCCGATGCAGCGGGGTCGCTCACGGAGAAGGGGAAATTGCCTGAGGTTTCCCTAATCGACAGCGGAGGACGGCGACACCAAGGCCCACGCCCTGAGAGACGCTTTATTCATACCGTCGGTACCCCAGAACATCTTCTCCGGTAACAGGCGGCGACTACCAGTGGGGGCACGGTTGTCTTTAAAGATAGAGAAGACGCAGCTGATAACCAGAAGACCGTGTATCCAGAGTTTGAGCATCATCGTTATGGAAAAATTGTAAACTAATCTGGCATACTGAGGGTAGTGCTAATGACAATGTAATTGCATCGTCATGACATTCAGACCATGGCATGAGATATTTAGGGCACCCTACTGTAATTAGACGATGCTTCTTAAGTTGCAGAAGTGGATTGAGGGTATGCAGACAAGGGCAAGGCAGTTAGGCCGGCCGAAACATTGGAGTGTGAAGGTGTGTATTCAACGGAAAGTTGGCCCAAAACGCAGAAATAGAAAGCCCGCGATACCAGAGCAGAAGGCTCCCTTACAGATGGTGCACAGCCCCAGAGCCTAGGCCAGTGTCCTGTAGCCCAACCACAGTCAGGCAGTGGTTACCAAACTATGACCTGTCGTTCACCACATGACGATTAACTCGAGCGGGGGCCAGTGTTGCCGTATATTTTCGAAAAAGAAAAGCGACAAAGTACCAAGCTACGAAAAAAGTTCCTAAGCAGCATATATCCCCTTAATGGGACCCCAAGTGATGTGCATGCGATCATAAAATACGGAACGGAGTATACATGCAATGATTTCCCAAAACCCCCACCTGATGAGGAAAAATAAATCCAGACATGAAACGTCAGCTCCCGTAATTCCCCCGGCAACCAGAAAGCGGACCGCTGAGAGGGGTTGGCGTACTCCTATTTGAGATGGCGGGCAGGTGCATGCTATTTAAAGCAAGCCTACCAAAACAGCTAATGGCACCTGATGCAATACAATACAGGGCAGGCGTGTAAACGTAAGCAGATGCTTTAATAGGGCGTACAGGGCAGCAGCCCTGCTACCCAGGACTGCTGAGCAGGCCAAGAAGGCTAGATGTATTACACCATCGCCAGAAATTTGGGTCTGTATGCCTACATGTACAACCAACGGATAACAGGTAAAACTGGATTCGCAGTGTGACCGAGGGGTGTTTTGTGGGGATATGACAACAAACCAGCCCCGCGTATTTGGTATAATATCCAGATACCCCTAATAAAAGTTAACCAAACAGCAAGGCTAGTGAAGTTTGTGAGCAGGGCAGCTGTGGAACACCAGACAGGAGGGCAGACCCTGATGCTATGGGCCTTTAGCAGGCTGGATAGCGAGACCACGGCAAGAGTGCAATAGGAAGCGGAGAATGGTTCAAGAGCCAAAGTGTGCG